TCCGCATATCTACGAGTATATGGCAACACTGGTTAGCCCGCTTCAACGTGATTTATAAAATAAAAACAAGCACTTCTAAGCTATTCGCTAACTAATCCACTAAGAACTAGGCTCCAGTTGACTCACTACAAACTACTTCGCTAGCAACTTCCAGAGTAACTAGTTTAAAACTAGTTTGATTGTAAACAATTAAAAGTTCTACCGCAAATTTTCTGATATTTTTTTATTACATTTTATTTCCATAACGGTTTTGCCACCGCGCAAGCCGAATATGTAAGAGTTATATGAGTACATACATACGTACGTATGTGTGTGTAGTTGTACATATTTTGGCATATGTGGCATCACAATTCCAGCGGTCATTTGCTGTGGTTGCTTCAATTTGATTTATAACTCGTTAAGGTAAAATGGTAGCAAACAATAAGGGGAATGACTAAAGCTAAAATAAGAGAAAGAAATGTGAAAAGAAAGAAAATGTTTGGCATTTCTAGAAATATTTTATGTACTTTTGAGGTTATTTTTTTCCCAGCATCTTAAAGCTGCGCTCCATTTACATATTAAAATAAATATCACATGTATTTCGCATTTATTATTATTTATTTTTTTTTTTTATATTACATTTTAATATTTTTCCTCTCAAACAATAACAACCATTCCGCCGTTAATTTCACGCTGCACTGGCTGTTGTCGCTGCTGCGACTTCGGCCGCTGCGGCTAATTCTGAGCTTTGTTGTTTTGTTTTTGGTGCTCTCTTTACTTCCGCTATGCCTGAAAGTATGCAACGAACGCATTTGCATCTAAATTAGCGCCAGCGCATATGCAGTGCTTTGTAGTCCATTTTGCTTTTGCCTCTTGTTCGCTGGCTGGCTGCCTACTCAGAGACTGACGCATCCAATCACGTTGTGCTTTGCCGGAAAAGGGAAACACAAATTTTCTATGCGTGAAATTTAATTGACCGAAACTGAAAGTGCATTCCCGTCGTTAAGCGTCATCGTATTTTTTAGTGTCGCGGCAAAAGCATTATATTTTTTGCTTTGGGAATAAATGCGGAATGCTCGCGTTGAAGCTTTTGTTGTAAAATAAATTTCTGGCGTTTAATTTTATGGCTTGCCACGCTGGGACGGAATGAGTGCGGTTGCGGAAAATAAAGTTGCCGATGCTAAAAACGAGGCAATTTGTGTAAGTACACTTCTACCGAGAGTCTCTAGTGTCTCTAGTGTCTAGTCTCTCTGAGAGTCAGGAGAGTGAGGAGTGAGCTCAGCTAATTGGACTTGGCCTTGAAAAGTCGTTCATGAAAGTTCATAAAGGCCTCGGCAAATATACACGCGGCCGGTATGTGGCGTACTCTTCACTAATAAACTTCCTGCCTAAAAGCTTACTATAAGCTTCCTTACAGTTGAAGAACAACTGTGTTCTTTTGAACAAGCATTGATATAACCGCCGCTTGGTTAGGAGCTAACCATTTAAAGGGACCTGCTGAGAATATTATCGAAAGAGTTATCATCTTTCTTCCTTGGTGACTTGTGAACCCACCTACCAACGGATAGAAACTGGTTGCGGACCAGCGGAGGCCACGAGAGTTAAGCTTACAAGGGTAGGGACGTTTCGCTCGCTGAGGTAACTGCTCAGAGTTCTGAACATTATCTATCTCAATTTGGATTTCCATAAATTGCGCGGTCTCACCTACTAAAGCATGGTTCAAGTTGTAAATCCATGGAGGTCTAGAGAATATATACCTCGTTTAAAGCTAATATTTTCAAGTTTCGCAGCTTTAGCTAACAGGGAACAGGGGATTTTCTTGGCAGTCTTTTGCGAGACGCTTCAACGGGGCTATTCGGGTTCGATCTAACTCGGCTACCACACTCGTCCTCCCCGTATATTTCTCTCTCTTTGTTACTCCTCCATACAAATATCTCTTTCCACGCGATTACCTTACTTATTCATGTGCACATCATGCTCTATATGCTTTATTGTGCAAAATCTTTCATGTCCCTTTAAACGCTTGAATCTTGAACTTTTATTTACCGTCATCTCATATGCCACGCCCCGCCACCACTACTATCCCACGAGCTTGATATGTTTGCACGCCTTCAAAGCATGCTTGCCCTACGTTGTAGTAGCCCGGCTCTCGCCCGAAGAAGGCATGCAGCTGGTTGGTGCGGAAGGCGTATGGCGCGCTCCGAAATGCAATTGCACGTACCAAGTGCTCCGCGCTAACAATGTTGAGTTTGTGTAGTGGCAGCAGCAGCAAATACTTACCGGCAAATGTCTGCGCTAGTCTGTGTGTGTGTGTGTGTTTGTGTAAAATGAGTAAAGCAAATATTTTTCTGCGCTTGTATGCCAAGCCAATCGAGTTGAAATTTGTGGTGCCACAAGTTGCTGCAGGCCACACGGCATACCATGCACTGCTGAGTGTGTGTGTGAGTGTAAAGACTTCTTCTTTCCCGTGGGTATCACGTAAACTCGTCCTGCCATTCACGTGTGTTGTTGTTGTTACAAATACCAACGGGTTCGAATTATTTTCTTTTTTTTTTTTTCTATTTCAAAATTATATTTTTTTTTTTTGGCTCCACTGATCTCATATCCTGTGGGTATTTCAGCGTATTTGTTATGAATTTTTCTGTTTAGGCGGAAAAAAAATCATTGGTTTTGTTGTTGTTATTGCTGGTTGTTTGTATAGCTTAGCTGAAGTGAGGTTGGCTTGCGGTAAAAGTTGAGATTGAGGCGAATTTAAAATGCATCAAAATAGTATGTGGGTGTGTGTTTAGGCCAATATTTATTTATGTAGCGGTAAATTTTCCTTGAGTTTCATTTCAAATGGCTCCCTATCAAAAAGAGTGAAAACTTAATATTTTTATTTGTATTCTATTTAATTGAATTTAATTATATTTATATTTACTACATTATATATTTTGTTGTACTTTATTTTTAATTATTTATTTCATTTCTAATTAATTGAATTCAATTCATTTTAAATTTTTTATTCCACTACATTTTAGCTGAATTTAACTTAGTTTTCTCATTTAATTTAAAATAATTTATTTAAATTTGTTTCAATTCAAATTATTTTGTTTCTTTTATTTTATTTTAATTCAAATATAACAATTAAATTTTTTTATAGTTTTATTTAATTTCATTATCAGGTGTACAACTTTACTTCCGCCGTTTTTTTTTTCCAAAATTAAAAGCCTTATTGCAAGAAAGTGCTTACAGATATATTATTCAAAGTATTGTCCTTCGCTAGCGACAACTTTCTCCCATCTTTCCGGCAATTTTCAGATCCTGGCTCGAAAAAAAGAGTCCTCTTTTGACACTATCCATAAAGCAATCCATTTTTCCAATTCTTCGAAGGATTGAAAGTGTTGATCTGCCAGGCCGTGTGCCATCGAACGGAATAGGTGGAAGTCAGAAGGGGCGACATCTGGGGAATACGGCGGGTAGGGCAAGACTTCCCATTTCAGCGTTTCCAGGTACTTTTTCACCACTTTTGCTCGATGTCCCTCGGTTTCAACTCGTACGGCACCCAGTTTCCTTCTTTCTGAATCATGCCGTTTTGAAATGGCTTGCTGACTCACTCGCAACGATTCGGCAAGCTGTTCTTGGGTTTGGCACGAATCTTCATCAAGCAATACTTCTAGTTGTTCATCTTCAAAGGTTTTTTCTCTTCCACCACCATGTTTGTCTTCGGCATCGAAATCACCATTTTTAAAACGTTGAAACCACTCCCGACACGTTCTTTCACTCAGAGCAGCAGCATCACCGTAAGTTTCTGAGAGCATTCGATGCGCTCCAGCTGCATTTTTTTTTCGAATTGTAACAGAAAAGTAAAACTTCCCGTAAATGGCGAGAATTAGGCACATAAACGGACATTTTCGAGCGTGAATAATACGAAAACAAGAACAACTGTCACTGAAACGGCGATGACAATTCGTTTGGCACTGTCCACACACACTTTAATGGCATTATCATCTATGTATTTCAACCAGCCTCAGCCGGTACAGCCACCTATCGGAAAACGGCGGAAGCAAAGTTGTACACCTGATTGTTTTATTTAATTTCATATAATTTATTCTGTTTTATTTTTTTTATTGATATGATTGATTTAAATACAATTAATATTATTGTACTTATATTTTATTTAATATATTATAATTTTTTATGTATTTTAGATCATTAATTTTTTATAATTTTTTTGTTTTTTTTTTTTATTTCAATTCATTTTATTACTTAACTAATTTTTTCTTTTTTATTTTGTTTCATTCTATTTTACTTTACTTTTATCTACGTATTTTTAATGAAATTTATTAACTAAATTTAATTAAATTGCTTTGTTTTAATTTATATCATATAAATTTAGTTTCAAATGATTCATTTTATTTAATTTTTCTTTATGTTAAGTAAATTTTTATTTTATTTTATTTTGCTTAGAATAAATTATTCTATTTCGCTTTAATTCATGAATTCAATTTAATTTCTTCACGTTTTTTATATTATTTAATTTTCTTCAATTTTATTATATTTTTCTATTTAATTGATTTTTTGTTACTTTATATCATTTTTATTAAAATTCAATTTTATTCCATTTCATTTGTTTGCTTTTAATTTATTTTAATATATTTAATTAAATAAAATAAAACTAATTAATAAATTAGTTTATTGTCTTTTTATTTTAATTCCCTTTATTTTATTTGAAATATTTTTCATTAAATTTTTTTGAATTAAATTTATTTTTATTTATTTTTTACTTTATTTTAATTTTTTTTATTTTCTTTTATTTTCCTCTATATTGCATTTAATATAATTTAATTTTTAACTTGACTTTATTTTTACTTACTTATTTTTCTAAATGTTTTAAACAAATTTGTTTTAATTTAATTTTTTCTTTCCTATATGAATATTTTCTCCCTCACCGCCAATAATTTTTTCATTATATTTAATTTTTAATTTTTTAATATTTAATTTTATTAATATTTTTTATTTAATTTAAATTTAAATGCACAAAATAATTTCATTTCACCTTCTTTGCCTTAGTAACGCCATTTTTAATGTTCGTCTTCCCTTTCATTCCTCCTCTGCACCTCTTCGCTAACCAATACACTGAGGCTAGCGCCAAGCTAATTACAGTTATAATTATCGTGAGCAAGAAGCCCAACACATCCAAGGACATGAGTTGCCAACGCTTCATGTAAACGGCCGGAGACTGCATATGGAACGCACCTTTGTGTCGGAGAACATAGTCCACCCACCATACAACCGTTTGGTGCGCTGTCATGGGTCGATCGCGATATAATTTGGAAAAATTACGCACCGTTTCTGTGTATTTGGGATTGTGTAAGACCTCCTCCACAGCTTGACGCAAGCGCTCCTCGGTCAAATCAGCATAGCTCACATAAACACCCATACCCAGTTGCTGCACATCCAGCACATTCACCGGCTGGTCACCAAAGAGCGGTATGCCCACCATGGGTACGCCATGATATTGTGACTCCACGACGCTACCCTTACCGCCGTGTGTTATGAAAAGTTTTACATTGGGATGTGCGAGCACGTCGCTCTGCGGCAGCCAGTTTTTATAGACGATATTTGATGAGTTGCCCGGGTAACCACTGTCACCCCACTGCCAAAGTACTTTGTATGGGAGCTTCGAGACAACACTGTACATGATGCGCGCTTTATCCGCCTGCAGATGTTTGCCCTGTATGTTAGAGCCCAAGCTGAAGTAGATCACACCCTCCGGAGAGCCGTCGAGCAGTTCGGCGATGTCCGCGGGTAGAGGGTCGGGGTGCTGTTTGATTTGTATGCCACCAATTTCGATTAGGTTTGGCACATTGGGACGTACGGGACCCTGTGTGAACCAGTGATTGGCAAAGATCAAGGCGACATTATGACGCGCCTCCTCGAGACTCGGATAACCGCTTGAGGTGGGAAAGTTATAGCTGCAGACAAAGAAAATTAGTGGGAAATTAACACGCTGATTGCCAAAGATTAAACACGGCGAGCTTAACACACATTTATTTACGATTTATTTACGTAGACGAAGCTTAACCTATTTACACACTCACCTGTAGTACTTCTGCTCTGCACGCTCCAACATGGGACTCATATAGTAGTATTCAAACAAAGTTGTCAGATAATTCTGCAAACGCGCCCAAAAGTCCATGGGTTGCTTGAGTCCGCTGAACAGCGTCGGCACGTAAGCGTGCTCGCTGGGATTACCGATCAGTTCGTTGATCACAAAGAATGGTTGCATCATGAATGAGATGACCACCGGACACTTGAAGTGCGCGCCGAGCCCCAAATGGAATTCGTTGCCAAAGTAACCCAACAGCAACAGGTCAAAAGCATCTTCACCATGGTTGCGTAGGAACTCCTGCAAATCTGGATGTGACAATGTGCGATTGTTCATTTTCGTCACCTCTGACAGCAACATCGGATAGCGTTTGTAGAACGGCGGCGGATCGTTGACCAACACATTCATAAAAGTGTCAGGCAATAGCGGTGTATCGAGTTGTATGTAATTGTACGGAGCTTTGGGATACATATTCGGTTTGGTGGCGATCACTGTGACATTGTGGCCGGCACGTGCCAGCGTATCCGCGACGGCGCAATGTATAAGCAGGTGCGAGCGACTCGGCGATGGAAAGAAGCCTAGTATGCGCGCCGCATTCGCTGGTGGAACGACAAACGCGCAAAACACCAGAGCCAGCAAGGCAATTGAAAAGCGCATATTGAAGCGTTTTTTTTTTTCGTGTAGGCGAAAGTCTCAAAGAGTTCCCGTTTAGTGTTGATCTGATTGAGCGTTGCGTGAAGACTAAGCAGTTGGACGGTCTCTTTATGAAAATAAATAGTGAAATTAAGTGAAATCCGCTATGGCGCCGGTAGTGGCGTCAGACGTGAATGTATATTTATTTCGGCGATATTCACTTTACAGCGTGCATGTGTTGGTTCTATATGTGCGTTCGCATTAACGTCATTCATTGGCAGATTGTTTCTTGTTTCTTTTGTCTGCGGACAATTGAAGAGTAGAGCGTACACTGTCGGAAATCTGAAGAATATTGCGAGTAGTTTCCATTTCCATTTCCATTTCCATTTCATTTTCCATTTAATGGCATATACGTTGGAAGAGCGCAGCCGATGGCAACATCTCACGACGGTCTAAGTGATTTCGTGAGGTAGAGGAAGCACTGATCTTCGTGGTGCTGGAAAGCTGGAAAGCTCTAGTAGCGACTTACTTGCTATCGTGCACGGCAACTGAAAACCTTATGCTACTGGTTGATCTGAGCTCGTATTGGATTCTAACCCCCGAGGAAAGTGAGAAGCGAAATCTTGGCCCTTAAAATTACTGCCGCATCTCAGGAAATTTATTAACTGCTATCCTCAACAGAGTTGGTGAAAGAGACCATTTGTTGTAAAAACGAATCCTAAAAATATTTCGAACAAATATTTACAAAAACTAACTTTGAATTTCACAGCAAAATTATTAATTTGTCGTTGAAAAGAAATTTCTATAATAAACGTCTCCATTTATATGTCCGCAGGTGTAAATTTTCGCTCACAGTCTGGCTGCTGGTTATGTGTGTGAGTGTGTGTAAAGAACTTTTATGATGTTCAAGAGCACACATATGTATATACATATATATACCTTTACCTATACATATATACATACATACCTAAATATGTATATGAAGCTCTGCAGGTAGTTTTAAAGAGATTTATTTATATAATATTGCCCTCGCTTATCAAGCTCCAAGTAAGTGGTAGACAAATTAATCATTGCCAGATTGCAGAGTGTCGTCATTGAAAAAAAAAAAAATTATTTTGAAAACGAAATTATAGTGAAGCACAATAATACGAAGCGACAATAATCATGTAGATATACAGAAATAATGAATACAGTGTGCGCTAAAAGTATACGCACTGAGTTGAAAAAAGAACATATAAATAAAAGAATTTTAAAATTATTAAATTTTTTGGAAAAATTGATAATGAAAGCACAAAAAAAAATAGAGAATCAATATCAAAATTGTGTGTAAAATTTGCAATACGAATTGCAAATTTTCGTTCGCACACTTTTCCACACTGTTTGTGGGAGTAAAAGCATGTGTTGAAAAAACAAATGTACGTGCATACATACAAAGTGTATGTTCAGCAAATATTGTAAAGAAAATATTTATTTATTTTTATCAATTATATTTAAGTGAATTAAATTATTTTAGTTGAGTTTTTATATTCACATACACGCATATTTAAATAAAGAATTATATAAAATTTTCAATTTACTCAAAAATTTATACGAATTGTGTATGAAATATTTTCTATTGAAAAAAAAAAAAAATAAAAAAATAAAAAAAATAAAAATTTTTAATGTAAAATTAAAATGCAAAAGCTTTATAAATATATATATATATATAATTTTTGTATAAAATAACAACTAAAATTAATAAAATTATTATAATTAAAAAAAATAATATTATTATGTAAAAAAATATTTTAATACGAAAAAATTATTAAATTTGCAAATAATATGTGGAAAATGTATGCCTCCGCTGAAAAAAAACAAGCCTTAAATTTATATATGTATGTACGTCTACCGCTGCCCGACTAAATTATGTAGCAGTATCTCAGTATTTGAAACCAACTACTGATAAATAATTTTCAAATCTTATCAATTCACACACACACACACACACACACACACAATGTCTCTTTGAGTGTCTGCAGTCGGTTCATTTCAACAAAATAATTAACTTAAATTTTATGAAAATTACTCTAATATCGCAGTTTATGCTATATACTCGTATATATACATACATACATATAGTATTTATATTGTAAAACACTCCCATTATCAACAAATTGAAATTCGTACACACTTATGCACCTAAAGACACATGTATGTATGTATGTAAGTATTTTTATGGAATAAATAAAAATACAATTTTTAAGATTAATCTAAGTACTCGTTTGTATGTACACGGTGTGTCCCAAAAATAACCGAACTCTTTGGTTATAAAATAAAATACACATTATATTACCTTTGAAAGTTATTATTTATTGAAAAAAAAAGGTTCCATTTGACTCAACACAACGCTTGGAACGATCAACCAGCGCATGCATATTTTTTTATTGTAAGTCATTTAGAGAAATGTTCTGCAGTACCTCGGTTACGGCTGCTTGAATGGCTGGGATGTCATCATAAAATGCCCCCCTCATCTTGGTTTTCAGTATTGGAAATAAAAAATAGTCACATGTTGATAGATCAGGCGAATACGAAGGATGGTCGATGAGAGAAATCCCTTTTTTCATTAAAAATTCGAGCGATTTTTTGGTCGTCATTTAATTCATGTGGAACACATCGCGCACAGACCATTCTTTTCCCCAAATCTTCAGTTAAAATTCTCCAAATAGTGTTTTTGCTCGTATTCAATTCCTCAGCCAACATTCTCGTAGTAAAATTTGCATCGATACCAATGATTTCACGGACTTTTTTCACCAGTTTAGCACGATTACTAGTTTCTGGACGTCCTGCTCTAGGGACGTCATTTAAATCCTCACGACCATTTTTAAATCGTGTAAACCACGTATAAACTTGCGTNAGGACACACCGTGTATGTATGTATGTTTCTATCTAATGTGTATATCAAAACTGGTCTAGTAACATAACGTAGTAAAATTTTAGCTTCAAACTAAATACATACATACATCCATATACATTTATATATAAATTATACCGTTTCTTATGTGTCTTGCGTTGAGATTCATCGGCTTCAATTTTGAGTGGAATTTTTTTCGAATTATTTTTTTTTCTTTAACTAAGATACTGCGAAAGCTTTAAAATTTGTTTTAAAAGTTCCTTTTTTTTAGTATTTAAAGACAATATTTAGTGCTTTGTTAACCATCTTTAAAAGCTTTTGTAATATATAACAAAATAAGTATGATATTTTTAACACTTAATTCTTATTTCTAAAGTACTTAAACATTTTGTATGAAAGCTTTTGTGAAATCCGTGAAAGTTCTGTAAACTGTTTAAGCTTTAAAAAGAGTTTGCAACTTTTTATTTTCGTGAAAGTAGATTAAAGTTTACTTAGAAGTATTTATCAGGTGTACAACTTTGCTTCCGCCGTTTTTTTTTTTAATTTAGAATTCCAAAGTTTCCCAATTTTCGTTAAAGCTTTCACCATTCTTTTGTTAATTTTTTTAAGCTTTTGGTATACTGATCAACTTTTTATTAGTTTTATAAAATAATACTTTATTCAAATTAAAAATATTTACAAGGCTCGAACTCAAAAGGTGGTTATTCATGATGAAACGCTTTTTAAGAGCTTTCAGTCATGAATTTTTGAAGCAGACCAACTGCAAAGCCTACAGGTTAAACTTACTTGCTCATTACAAAACCATTAAGGCTTTTTAAAGTCAACCGCTTTTTTTTAGCTCGGATTGTACTCTTAGTTCTATTACGAAAGCTTCTGTCGAATAAATTTGTTGAGTCGTAGGAAACCACATAACTTTAACTCGGCCTGCACTCCGCTTTTGCTAAAAAATGTGCCTCAATAACCCACTCTTCGCGGAAAGAGTCACCCAATTTACTCATAATATTTTTGCGATTCGCGCTTCATCAGAGAATCTGTAATAATCCATTAATATTCCATTAATCCATAAGGTCCATTTTGATGGTTATGAAGTTAGTCAGAGAACTTATAATAATCATTCCAGATTCTCTGGTTAGCTACGAATGTTTATAAAAGCTCTTAGGCACTTAAGAAAATATTTGAAAATTTTTTGTAACCTTTTTTTTGGATTTTATGAAAGAAAATTTTGTGCAATTTCTTAAACCATTTAGATGACTTCTAAGTTGCCTTGAGGTTCGTGAAAGAAAGTTTACTGACACGTTAACACATCAGTGGAATCTTTGAAAAAATAAGAAAACTTATAAGTTTTGAGATTTCTAAGAAATAAAAATGTAGTGAAAGCTCTCAACTATGTACGTACTTCATAAAAGCTTTAGAGATTACCGTGAAAGTTTTGGGGTTTTTTGGGCGAAATGTGTTTTAGGGAAGCTCTAAACATCTCTTCTAAGAGATTTCTGTGATATTCATGGACTTCAGATTCACTTTCAGCAGCACTAGAAATTTGAGTAGAAAATAAGCCGTAATTATACATATTTATTTACAGTCATATATACGACTATATATACGAGTATATATGTATAAGCGATGTTTGTATTCTTGCTCAACGGAGGCAAATTTTAAGCCGATAAGAGCCCACTCAATGCGACGGTGGTTAAGATAGGGCGAGCCTTACAAGCGCAAAGTGTTAACAACAAAGAGCGATGATAATAAATCTGATAATAAATTAAAAATACGATTAACAACTGTCGAGCCGACCTTATGAGCGGGTGACTCGCATAAAATTCTCAAGTAGTATTGATTTAATTTTATTTATTTATTTTTTCTTGATTAAGAACAATGCATTTACATAAATTCGTGCTTATAAAATGCAGTTAAAATAAAAAAAGGCGGATTTTCAATGATTTCTCTCTTAAAACTTAGTATTTGGTATTAGAAATCTCGATAACTAAATTGCATAAGATTTCTCTTGTTCATTCTTCAGGTAAATAAAACTCACAGCTTTTGTGTCATCATCTACTACTCTCCCTCTCTTCTGCTCTTTCTAAGAGCACAAAGCACTCTCTGCTCTGCATTTCTAATGTTTCTTCATTTATTCTTCTTTGATTTCTTCACCTTAACGTCGGCGAGCTTCTCTTTCTTGCCGCGACAGCACAGCAGTCTGCAGATCTTCACCAAAACCGCCACAACCGCAACTACGATCGCCAACAGGAAACCGATTACATCCAGCGACATCAACTGCCAACGATTCATATGCACGGCCGGCGATTGCATATGCTTGGCGCCGTTATGCCGCAGCACATAATCCACCCAGTAGACGACAGTCTCACGCGGTGTCATCGGTCGATCGCGATACAAGCGTGAGAAATCTTGCACGGTCTTTCTGTATTTGGGGTTGTTGAGCACCTCTTGCACGGCTGTACTGAGACTCTCCTCGGTGAGTGTTATATAGTCCACGGAGAGGCCATAACCGGAGCGTTCAACATTCGCCATATTCGATGGCTGATCGCCGAAGAGCGGTATGCCAACCATGGGTACACCGTGATATTGTGACTCGACAACGCTACCCATGCCGCCGTGTGTTAGGAAGAGTTTGATGTTGGGATGTGCGAGTATGTCGTCTTGTGGCAACCACTCACGGTAAATAATATTGTCCGCCTGTCCTGGCCGTTCGGAGTCATTCCACTTCCAGAGCACTTTGTAGGGTAATTTTGAGACGACATTGAACATGATCTTTAACTTCTCATCGGTTAAGTGGGAACCATGTATGTTAGTGCCTAAGCTGAAGTAGATGGCACCTTCTTTAGCTTCGTCGAGTATCTTGGCAATGTCAGCTGGTAGCGGATCGGGTTTCTCTTTAATTTGTATGCCACCGATTTCGATTAGATTGGGCACGTTCGGGCGTATTGGACCCTGACTGAAGTGATGATTAGTGAAGACGAGTGAGACATTCTTGCGCACTTCCTCCAGCGGAGGATAGCGGTCTGGCGGGAAGTTGTAGCTGTAAAGAGAAAAAAAGAGGTTTAGGGTGAGTTATGGAGATTCGTAAAATGTGGTTCTTAGGTCTTATGAAAATATAGTGCAAACTGTCGCACCAAGTCACACTTGGAGCCGCAGCACTCGAAATAAAGGGAATTAAACTCTAGAGTCTCGAGCTCGTGCATCTCGTTTAGCTATTTGGGAACTTGGGTTAGAACTTCTGGATTTGGTACTATGTAGCAAGCTCCAACGTTTCTCGGTTTGTTGCCGATTAAATCACTGACTTCACACAGAGCACATGCCAATAGAAGACGAACGCCTTCAGAGCTCGGTGAAGTTATCTACAATCCACGAACACAATGTGAGATTATTCATGATGAACCCCACTCACTCAACTCACTCAACTCACTCATAATATTTCTGCGATTCGCGCTCCACTTTGAGGGTTATGAAGTTAGTTTCGAATGTGGCCACCACAAAATTGTGCACACGTCCCCAGAAGCTCAACGGCTGCTTGCGTTCACTAAACAAAGTCGGCACATACGCCGACTCAATGGGATTTTTCACCAGATTGTGCACCGCAAAGATGGGCTGAATCATAAAGGAGACCACCACTGGCACTTGGAAATGCGCACTAAGTCCCAAATGGAAATCGTTCATGAAATAACCCAAGATGAGGAGATCAAAACTGCCCACGCCGTGTGTGGCTAGAAAGTGTCGCAAACGTGGATTGGCAAGAGATTGATTAGCCAAACTGGTAACCTCGTCAATGAAGTGTGGATAACGCGTAATCAAAGGTTGCTCGCGTTTGACCAAGCGTTGCAGGAAGTCCTTTGGAAATAACGGTAAATCCAATTGTATATACTCGTATTTCGCGAACTTGTAAGGATTCTTCGTGGAAGAGAGCACAGTGACATTATGCCCGGCCTGGGTGAGCGCGTCCGCAACTGCGCAGTGTATACGCAAGTGTGAGGGCGAAGGCGAAGGAAAGAAACCAAGTATACGCGCGGCATGCACGGAGTTGCCACTTCGTGCACCGAGTCCAGCGAGTAGGTAGACGATAAACACGGCGACGATAAAGCGTTGAGACATGTCTAAGCTGCAAGGTGTGCCCGACGGTGTACGCTGTGTGTGTGGAACGCGAGTCAAATGCGCACTGAGCAGCTGACAAAGATCGCTTTGGGTATTCATTTGTGAAGAATCACAAAGAGCTTATCATATTTGGGTTAAATAGCCTAATAAATATTGGGTCTAACAAATATTTGCTTAAGGATTAGACGCTACTCGGAGTGCACTCAACCCCAAGCGAGATTAAGTCCAACAAAACAAAGTTGAGTTGTGGGTGTTTACTCAAATTGACGGCTGCAGCGGCCGCTTGGGATGGAATAGACTGAATAACCTAGCGAATGATAAGCGTCTAATGGACGTAAAGTTGATACAGCGATCTCTTATCAAAGTTTATTTTACAGATGCGTGTGAAAGTCTTACAAAGGCAAGTGTGTGAAAGCAGATTAGAGATGATAAGCCACACAACGCGGCAACACAGACTCATTCGAGTGGGCAGAAAAAAGTAAATTCATTATTTATTTATGTTATTTACTGCTTGTCCAAGTCGAAGTACCCTAAATTTAGTTCTTATCAGTGCGAATGTCGTGAAGCTGTAGCGCTACAACCCTTACTATACACGTATATGGTTCTTAAGTAGCTTCGAAACCTGTCGTGATCTCCTCAAAAATACTCAGTAGGTTGCTTTGTTTAAAGTATGGTGTGAGGAGTTGATTACTAGCGCTGCTTTTAAACCGCCGCGTGGACTCATCGAGTTTTCCTGTGTATCTCTACTCTACATTTGGGAGGCATTCCACTATCTCCGTAAGGCTGACGCTGCGTACATAGAGAAATATCTCAGATAGCTCAATCTGGTGATGGCCGATCTCGCTACGGAAGAGTTTTATCTATTAAATTGAAATTGGAGTTGCTTTCCAAGGATTCGAGCTTCATTGTCTGGATGTAAATGCGGTACCACATCCCTTAGAAAATCTGATTATTTCAACTTGGAAAACGTACTCTCCGTCTCGATTTGGTTTCCAGGTCCATCGATAAAACTTGACATAATCTACCCTTGTTCCAGATAGTGCACACTTCGTTGAGTTTTCGTGCGGTGGATTAGGGCAACAATTTTTTTTACCCGTACTCGACCGAAGCTATAAGGTGGCAGTCCGAAAAAGATGATGGAGAGAAAAACGAGCCCAACAACGATTCACACAATTATTTCCTACACTTCTTTCACAAAATGCTGACCTCCACCACCCTCACTTTCACTCACTCATAGAACTTCCTGGTCTGATACTCCAGCATTGGCTGCACCACATGCTCTTCGATCAGCGCGACAATCATATTCTTCACACGACCTAAGAAGCTCATGGGCTGCACCAAATAACCAAATATGCCCGGCACATAAGCCGGCTCGCTGGGGTTACCGACATAGCGATTCACTGCATAAATCGGCTGTATCATGAACGAAAGCACAATGGGACAACGGAAATGCCCAGCCAAACCCAGTTGGAAATCATTCATAAAATAACCGAAGAGCAACAAATCAATATCACCCGCGCCATGTTGCTGCAGAAATTCTTGCACACGCATATTTTGCTGCGTCTCATTCGCACTGCGCGCTATCGACACCAACAACGAGCCGAAGCGGCGCCAAAACGGCTGACGTTTGTTCACCATATCCGTAGACATGAGCGGATGTGCGCCCATCTTTTCCAATTCGATATATCGGTATTGTGCTTGCTGGCGCACATTCGGACCCGAAGCGATCACCGTGACGTCATGACCGGCATGCGCCAACGCATCGGCCAACGCGCAATGCACAATTATATGCGATTTCGAGGGCGTAGCGAAGTAGCCAAGTATACGCGCTGACTCCGCAGGCGACGCGTACAGGTAAGAGAGTGCGAAAAGCACTACCGGGAGGCAGCTAATGCCTTTCAAGTGCCGGTACATTGTTTATGCTTTGTGTTATTATTCAATATTGTAAGCACGCACGGCGCGCGGAAGATGCCAAAATAAAAAAAAACTACAGCGCGCTCGTACGGCGGTTGTGCGCGCGCTGAGACAACTTATTGAATACTAAGTGATACAACTCGTTTTTGGTTAACATAAATACGCAGCAGACAGCTGTGGTCTGTTTGGCTTGTGACACACAGCAGGTGGTCAACTCAGTCTCGGTTAGTGGGAATTTGGAGACTTTTGTTTACCCGCTCGAGTGTAGACTTTGTATAGCGAGCTGCGGCTCTTTCTGGGGCGGAGGGCGTGGAAGGCATAGTCAAAGTACTGGTCTAAAACGTCTGGGTGGAAAGGTTACACACAGCTGTTGAGGTGTCTGTTTGGGGTAAATAAACTATTCCATTAAGTAGCGACAATTAAAATGTGCACTTAATGAGAAAAGTGTGTCCCAATTTCGTTTGAACTTTGCCTGACACAACCGCACACACATTTGGCTAACGTCTTTATACCGCTTTTGTACGCAATTAAATGGATTAGTGAGCTATAATTCAATGCTGAGTTCAGCTAAGTGGGTTGCGGTGTGATGTGCTCACATCGAGTAGCTCGCTGAGTCCACTCTCCATTGCGTCAAAGTTACGACGACTGCTGGACTTTCTATGGATAATACGAAGCCAAGTCGGCTGGGCTTAATCTCGTGCTAGGAATCCTTCGGTAGGTTGCTCAAATCGTGCACTGTAAGCTTCAGATCTTCAGTTTAAGCTCCAAAGTTGTTTTCAGTTAATTCTAGAGACATAGAAAATGAGTCGAATTTATGAGGAGCTTCGATGCACTCGGAATGCTTGACTTTCTATGCCGAGGAGCTATCGGAATTAGTAAAGTTATTTTCTATAAATTCATATGTTGATCGGACCAGAACTCGAACCCTGAATCGTAGTACACACTACTTACTACTTAGGTGCTGCGTCCGAATTGCGTTGAGTTTCATGTATTCAGCTCATCTCCCTCTTAAAACCCGTCACAATCCCTACCCCCATGAACTTACTCATAAAGCTCCTGCTGCAAGCCACGCCTAACCCTCACATGCCATAATTCTCCAGCCGCACACTCACATAATTCCAGACGCTTGACCAAAAATTTATTGTTTGTTTTTGAGCACCCAAGAAGGTGGGCACATATGACTCCTCTGCGGGATTGCTCACAATATTATTGATCGTATCGTTTTAATCACAAATGAGAGAATCAACAGACACTGAAAGTGGCCAAGTCAAAATCGCCGGGACCATGTTTATTTTATATAGCGTAGTATCCAGTAATTTACCAGACCCTCTATGATCGAGTTGGCGAAACGTACTTGGCCAGGGGATTGGAAAATTATTTTTATTTTTTTTTAAAGTGGCAACTCTGCACAAAACTTTTTTCAATTACAATTCGGTTTTTTGCATAGTAAAATATTTGGCAAAAATAAGTTTCGCACAATGTGGCAACTCTGTTCGCAAATTTGATTTGGTTTATTTAAAAATATTATGAGAAATCACAGAGAATCGCTTCAGCGGTTACATATATATTGTGAGAAATAAGTTTCTGTGCAAATTTTTGTTTATTGTTTTTTTCTAAGAAGTGGCAACTCTGCACAGAACTAGGCGATGCGAAAAAAAGCTATTAATAGCGTCATGTAAAGTTGTGTCATCGAGTAAGCCAACTCATTCTTCTAAACGAAATCTTGTAATGAAAACACTGAGCCCGAGTTTGAGCTCTTCACCCCTATAAAGTCTTCACTTGTCGCTCCTCACTTCCTATCCGATTTACACTTAAAATCGTCCCACACTCCACTCCATCAACTTACTCGTATAGCTCCCACTGATATGAAAGCGCCAAATTTAGCATGCCATATCTCTCCAGTGCTAAACTCGCAAAATTTATGACACGTGCCCAAAAATTCATCGGCTGTTTTTCATTACTCATTAACGTGGGCACATACGCCATCTCGCTGGGATTACCTACCAGATCATTGATAGCCACAATAGGTTGAATCATGAATGAGAGAATCAACGGACATTGAAAATGCGCGGCCAAACCGAAATGGAACTCGTTCATAAAATAACCCAAAATGACCAAGTCAAAATCGCCAGGACCATGTTCGTGTAGAAAGCGTTGCACACGCGGATGTGTGATGGAGGCATTCGCTGAGGATGCGAGTGAACGAAACAGGCTGGAGTACTTGTTAAAGAACGACATCGACCCATTCACCATGCCCGCCATGACCGAGACATCGAATTTCGTATCATCGATTTGAATGTACTCGTACTTGGCTTTGGGATAGACGTTTTTTGTGCTTGTGATCACAGTGACGTTATGACCGGCATCCGCCAGCTGCGAGGCGATCGCTGCATGCACGATGAGATGCGATTTCGAGGGTGATGGAAAGAAGCCGAGTATGCGCGCGGTTTGTGCGGTCTCGAAGCGCGTAACAGCCAAACCGATGAGCAACAGCAATGTGCACAACATTGAAGGCGACATTGCGGCGGCAAGACGAGGAGACGCGGTGGGAAATATAAATGGAAGTCAAATAATTTCAATTAAATTCTCGATTCTTTGCGACGCGTTCGTTTTCAGCGTTCTAAGCGTTTGAACGGATGGCAGATAACTGAATTTTCGTGGCGGGTCTTGCCAAACAAGTAAAAGATTGAGGTTCCATTGTGTGTGGGGCGTTGATGATTTTACGGAAAATAGTTCGATTTTGTTGTTGTTATTTTGGGCAATTAATTGAGCGTGGCGGCTCAAGTGGAACTAAAATATCAGCACAATTTGCTGTTGTTGTTGTTGCTGTATCACTAACAAATATCTACGCATTTCGTGTATGTATGTATGTATGTATGTATGTAGAGCCTAGAGAGATATCTTGCTAAGTTAACATGACTCGACAACAAAGGGACGTTATCTTTCTATGATAAGGGGGTTCGAGTGCTTTGTTTTAAATTAATTTAATTTGGCATTTCCAGTTTGCAATAGAAACTACGCAAGCTTCTTATCACCTGTACTTTGTTCACAGTTAACCGATCGGTCGATCCAAAAATATTTGAAAAATCCCCGCTTTAGTCTCTTCAATTCTTTGGCTTTATCGTAAAAAAACCATTTGAATGGTGTAATTATAAACAGGTGGCAGCACTGCTTAAAAAGTGGCAGCTCTTAATAGGTTTTTTTTAGAAATCCGATTTGCTGAAGCTCTTCTTCTTATTGCGAGGGTTCGATTACAAAACATTTAAACAACTTTCTATCAAATAATTAATTCCATAGTTTTTTCAATGAGTGGCAACTCTGCCTAAGAAAAAATATTCCAACTTAACTTCCTAAAGTGAAATCTCGCACGAGGAGAGCTGTTTATTTCAAAATCTTTAAAAGTGCTCGACGACACCGCCCGACGACAATAAGATTATGCACAGTCATTGGGCATTTGTCGTGTATTTTCCGTGGAAAACGGATAATTCCATCCCGCGTTCCTACCCTCGCACTTACTTGTAGTACTTCTCAACGAATCCATCCAATAAGCCTTCAACCAGCACACCTTCTATGAGATACCACAAGAAGTTCAACACCCGCCTTCGAAAATCCAACGGCTGCACTAGACCACTCAACGCCATCGGTACATATGCAAACTCACTGGGGTTAGCCAACCATTTGTGGACCCTATGCATCGCATCCGTTACATGGAACAGTACAATCGGACACCGAAAGTGCGCAGCCAAGCCCAAATGGAAGTCATTCACCATATACGTTAACAGCAGCAGATCGTAATCGTCTGCATGAGAAGCTTTTAAGAACGCCCGCATTTTCGGCTGGGCCAGAGTTGCATTGTGTGTGCGCAGAAATGGTTGTAAAACGCCAATGGCTGCAAAACGCTGCGGCACAATGCCCGGTACATTTATAATTTCTTTTGTCACTTTATCACCAATCAACGGTCCGTCAATACGTATATAACGGTACTTTGCGCGGGGATAAACATTCTGCGTAGCGCCGAGTACCGTGACATTGTGCCCAGCTACGGCCAGTGCATCGGCTACGGCGCAATTCATCAGTTGATGCGAGCGGAGCGTGGTGGGGAACAAGGCGAGTATGCGCGCACCGGCGACATGATGTAGCTGCCAGGTGGTGAGCGCGAGCACGACGTAGAGTGCGAGAGTAGCAAATGAGATATTTTTTATTGCCATTTATAATAACATTGAAAACCGAACGCGTACGCGGAAACTACGGTACTAATTGCCTTGACGCCGGTTGCGTGAGTATACGCTTTAACTGTGTGATAAACGCGTTATCACCGACTAAGATATCGCTTTGGAGGTAAAGGACGGTGTAAATAATCAATCATTTGCCTTTTTGTTACTTTATACTTATGGCGCTGATAATTGATTGTGCACTTAATCCACCACAGCTGTGTTGTGTTCACTTTAAAATCGCTGGAAATGTTCTGTCCACTGTCAGTTGGTCGCTGTTAGCTTGCATGCAACAAACAATCACCGCCTCCCTTTATGCCTCGAATTTAATCTTCCTCAAGCGTTCATAACTTACTTGTAAACGCGCTGCCAATCGCGCTCGAAAGTCGGCAGCATAATCCACTGCTCCAGAAGATTGCCCAAATAATTCTGCACGCGACCCCAAAAGTTCAGCGGCGCTCTAAGATTACTCAACATCATCGGCGCATAAGCATGCTCCGCGGGATTCGCCACCAAACGATCCAACGCAAATAGCGGCTGCACCATGAAAGACGCTACAATGGGACAACGAAAGTGTGCGCCCAAACCCATCGCGTAGTCGTTGAAGGTGTAACCGAGCAAGATCAAATCGAAGGCGCCTTCGCCGTGTGCGCGCAAGAACTCGCGCATTTTCGGATGACTCAACGTGCGATTGCCGGTGTCAATAAAAGAGCTCACCAGGTTGAATGCACGCAAATAGAACGGCTGTGGTCTGTTAACCCACTTCGTTAAGGTGGCTCGATCAAATTGTGCGCCCGCCTCCAGATCGATCTTGATGAATTCGTACTTCGCGTTTGGATAGACATTCTCTGAGACCGCGACGACTGTGACATTATGACCGGCAGATGCCAAGGTGTCGGCGATGGCAGCGTGTATGAGCGTGTGTGACTTGGATGGCGTTGAAAAGAAGCCGAGTATGCGCGCCGTCTCTGTATTATGCGCACAAAGTGCGAAGAGGAAGAGCCTACTAATGAAGATAGCTTGCGATTTGCCCGTGTTCATTTCGATGTTAAACAACGACTGAAAAGTTAGTTTCGTATACCGCTATAGTTCTTCTAAGTGGCGCTACTTAAAATACTAAGTTACATTGCAAGCGATAATAGCAACGTGACAACCGGTGGCGTCGCCAGCTGATAAGTGCAATGTTGCGCACTACATCAGCGCGCAGGAATGTCTAGGGTAAGTCAACTAGTTTGATTATTCAATGCCAGTCGTGAGAAGTAATTTGCTGCGTCATCTGCTGACATCAGCACTTTCCTCTCCACTAAGTATGCCCCGTGAATTCTAAATTCGCAAACGCCAGAATGACTTTATAAGGCAAGCAACTCGCGAGTTGGAAACAGCGCGCATCAGTAACGTGGCCCTCATCCCACATTAATTCACCATAACTAAATCACTTACTTGTAAACCGCCAAGACATCTCTTTCATGCAGCGGCATTATGATCCATTGCTCTAGAATATTAGCCAAATAGTTCAGTACACGTTCCGAAAAGTTCAAAGGCGCTTTCAAATTACTCAACAACAGCGGCACGTAAGCCTCCTCCGCGGGATTGCCGACCAAACGGTGTATGGCAAAAGTCGGTTGTATCATAAACGAGGTTACAATGGGACACCGGAAGTGTGCACCCAAACCCATCGCGTAGTCGTTGAAGGCATAGCCAAGTAAGACCAAATCATAGGCGCCCTCGCCGTGCGTGCGCAAAAACTCACGCATTACCGGATGGCTCAACGTGCGATTACCGGTGTTTGTGTATGAGCCCAGCATGCTGAATATATTTAGCTTCAAAAGTTTCGGTTTGTTTACCCAACGCGTCACAGCGCTGCGATCTAATTGTGCGTCCTCATTGAGCTCGATATGTAGGAATTTGTAGTGCGCTTTCGGATAGACATTCTTTGAGACGCCAACAACGGTGACGTCATGCCCAGATTGTGCTAGCGTCTCGGCGATGGCAGCATGTATAAGTGTATTGGATTTGCATGGCGTAGGAAAGAAGGCAAGTATACGCGCGGCGTTTGTTGGTCGCGCAGCGAGCGCAATGAGTAGGAGAGCACTTAAAGTGTAGAGCGCGTTCAATTTACTCACGTTCATTCCGGTGCTCTCTAACCGCAATTTAGAAACAGACAACCGCGTAGCTGAAAGAAGACTAACGCGTTTTGCTCAATGTATCGGCTCATAGTACGACCACTCGCTGTGTGGCGACGAAATTGATTAGAGACAACTAATAAGCACAACACTCTCCACAGCATCGCTGGTCTTCTGCGAATTGTTTATCAGCAATGCCAGGCGGTAGATTTGGTTGGCGTTGCGCTCAAGTTTAAGTTTGTGAGTCTAGGCAAACCGGATTTAGGGAGCTGTAAATTACACTCCAAATTGAGAATTTGTATAACTCAACGAATGGATTGGTTTTATGAAAAAAATAAGTGGAGATCCAGTTTGGGATGGACTTCGGCCTGGAGAGTATTTCCAAACCTCCCATATCGAACTCTCTTAATTTTAGCCGAGTTCTTCATCAACATCTTCTCTTCACCAACATCTTCTATTTGTCAACTAAAGAACTCTAAGAAGGTTTATAGGTAGACGAAGTTCTGGTTAATGCTGCCATCTGTTTAAAAATTTTAATTTTAATATATTTATAAATAAAAATGTCCCTGGAAAATCAGTCGCCCTTCCATCACCCACGCATCACACTCAACAGCAGAAGAAACGTAAGAAAGTTCACGATCCGCATTAAATAATAAAAACAGCTGTAAGTCTGTGCTGATAAGAAGTCACTGCTCTGGCTAGATGGTGACTTAGCACTTTTCTATGCACTTGGTGAGGAGCTTATGTAGAGCTTCTTATCGCTTTAATGACAATTTATTTACGAGTCTACTGAGATTGATAATCGCCAATTGAATGATTGTTTACATTTTCCGTGTGATAATGAACACCCGATCTGAAGATACAGTACTTCACAAAGTCGATGGGACAGTTGGGAAGTGAAATTCCAAAGATTTAGTGGATACACTTCCAAGACGGAGTGAAGTTATACCTTAAATGGGCTCACTTAGCACTTCTTATACTATTTCGGCGGAGGGAGTACCAACACAAGGGCGTAAACCCTATGAGAATTCGGTCTAAAGGCAGTCTCTTTTACATGCGTCACCGTCGTCATAACGAACTCAAGCAGAACCAAATCCCTTCATCCTACTTACTTACATATATAACTGCCCCGCACAATAATCCAAATACAGAACCAAGAGCTCCTCCAGCAAGGCGTTAATATAGTTCTTCAGCCTGCCCATAAAATTCAACGGCTGCTGCAGACGACTCGTCAAAGTGGGCACGTAGTTCGGCTCCACGGAATTACCCACAAAACGATTGACCTGCAAAGCCGGCTGCACAACCCACAATACGACAATCGGACATTGGAAATGCGCGGCCAAGCCCATTTGGAACTCGTTCATCACATAACCGAAAAGCAAGAGATCATATGCGCCCGCCTGGCGGTCACGTAGATACTCACGCATCTCTGGCTGCCACAAAGACGCGTTCGCCATGCGCATATATTCACGTGTCGTTACAATTAAACTCTGTATGAACGAGTGTCGGCGGTTGATGACACGCCGCAGTGCGTTATTATCTAGTCGGTCGCCTTTTGGTAGTTGGAGGTGCAGATACTTGTAGTTGGCATTTGGATAAACGTTTTCTATGATGCCAATTACCGTGACATTGTGCCCCACACGCGCCAAGTGCTCTGCGACTGTGCAATAGACGAGCATATGCGATTTTGAGTAGGTGACGAAGAGACCGAGTATGCGCGATGGGACGTCCGTTTGTGGTCGCCCAAGACAACTGCAACTGGTGAGCATGGTGACCGTGAAAATATTTAATTTTGTGAAAAACATATTTTTTTTGGATGACACGTCGGAGCTCAAGTACAATTCGTCCTACACTTTGAGTCGGTTCTTACAAACTGCGCTCTGCGGCGCTAAAAATGTAAGCAAAGCGAATTTGGATTCTTCATGAAAAGCGGAGCTCATTGTTCTTATTCACCATCTCATACAGGAAGAACCGGAATTTTGTGATAAGAACGCGGCGCTGCGTGTTTCTCGTTCCATGAAAGTAAGTGAAAGGCGCAGAGTTACACAAGCGTCGGTCACTCAACCCAAGATAAATAATTTGGTGTTTTAAGTAATGAAAAAGGGAAGCGCGCTTTAGGCTTGTGTATGTGTGAAGAATACCAGTTGATGCAGATGTGGTATGGGGCTCATCATAGGAAACCAGTGTCAGTTTGCCATTCTAATGGAGGTCTTGTTTAGAAGGAGAAGAGTCTTTGTTTTCCTTCTCTACCAATGTCCACACTTTTCTAGTTACATTGAGTGGGATTTCCTCCGCCATTTGCTATCGGTTTCAGTGGTTATGGCCGGTCTTAGCAGTTGGTTGGAAGTCTTAAGCAGAATTCAAGGTGAGTACTGTTCCTCTTCTAGCTAGCCCGTGGGATTCCGAGAGAGAAAGAGAAAGAGAGAGAGAGAAAGAGAATGAGAGAGAGGGGTAGATATATGGGTCGATAGATAGATATATAGATAAGTAGATAGATAGAGAGAGAGAAAGATAAAGAGAAAGAGAGAAAAAGAGACAAAGAGACAAAGAGAGAGATAGAGAGAGAGAGAGAGAGAGTTTCAAGGATTTTAGTATAAGTTGAAAGCTCCTCAGTTATGGTGCTAGGGATGGGGATGGGGACGTAGGTCGCCCGCTGAACTTTCTCCAGCTTGCTTCGTCTAGGGCTGGCCACCAGGTTGTGCCTACTTAGAACAATATGAATCTTATAACCACATTCATTTAGAACTTGTAATTGTTTCCCGGTCAATGTGAGGACGAGGTCTTCAGTGTTGGCAACTACAACAAAATCCATTCTCCCGACCTCCCGTCGCCATTTTAATTGAATACTATTGAAATTACCTTCGATTTCCACGCGACTTCAGCAAAAGTAACGAACGAATGAATGACCAATTAACGGTATGCATAACGGTAACAATTGTAAAAATAACTGTCAAATAGACACGGAGTTCGCGTGGCGTGGGAGCCTGGCGTCGAGGCGGCATTGTTTGTTTGCTTGTTTGCTTGTTCGCTTCACTTGTCAGCTCAGCTCGTTGTATGATGCATTGGGGAGATGTCAGCAGGTGACATGACTTAATAATTACATTAATTCACTTTATGTACTCAGAGTTGTTGTAAAAATTTTTATTGCTGCATGCTCAAAATCATTGGCGACGGTTGACATAAGCACACAATCAATACTGTTATAAAATTGAGCTTTCAATAACTCTCAAAAGTTTCTCTAGAGTGCCTAATCAAACAAAATATACACACAGCTACACACAGTTGCACACACACACATGCATATACAGCGTTAATTAAGTACTTTTGCAACTAAGTTATTGCGGTTCGTCGAGTGGTGCTGCATTGAAGTGCTGCTCTCCCGGTCGTTGCGCTCTTCCAGCCTTCAGCCCTCGGAGAGGGCTTCATTGTTCTTACTGTCCCGCAATAATCGGCAATTATTTGCCATAAATTAATGCTTAGTTCGTTAATAAACTACTCGAGCTTAATAGGTTTTACGCCAACTATGCCAAAGATCATTTATTTGTACTAATGTGGCCTTTGCGGTCTTCACTCTGGCGTAAGTCTTAACGCGGTTGCTGATTTGGTTGATATTATCATGATTTTTTCCACTTCGAAAGCTTATGAAAGTTCAGAGCAGGCTTAGGTCGCATTTGTTGATCGCTTGGTGGAGTTCTCTTACTGCCAGTGACTAAAGTACCGCTCCTTGAGTTTCTGTCTGTGATAGTCTCTTGCTCTAGTAAGAGACCCGCGCAACGAGCAGGAAGTACTTTTTCGGCCCCTTCTTAGTTTTTCAGTTATAGAACAGCATCGAATGGAGTCCTCACTCAGAGGTCGCATATGATGGAAGTTATTCGTTCTTTGCTATGTCCTTTTATCATATTTTTACTTTAGAGGTATCACTACATTCTTCCTCTGTCATATTCCCTCCTTAGATATGTTCTTATAGTCTAGGGTTACGGCAGTTATTGCTGGAAGTCTCGAGTTCCGTAAAAACTACTTACTCTGCTCTTTGTCTTGGCTCACTTTACGGTGCTGTTGCAGTTGTAAAGACCGAGGCTGCATCGGAGTCTCATCGCGATACGCTATTATTTGACGGCTTTGTCTTGCGTATAATGCGGAGTCTGTTAGTCATGACGACTTTCCTTATATTGGGTCATGTTTGCATTTGATTGGTGGCTGAATTGTTCCACATACCATGCCCGGTAAAAAATTAATCGCCTCCCAAACTTGCCTCCTTCCGGAGAATCGGTCTGCAGGTATATAACTGAGTTTCCCTTCCCTACGGTGTGTGAAGCCAAAAGTTCTTCTCTATTGCAAGATTATTGGAGGGAGAAATTTTGTATGTCGGGTATTGATTTTTCTTGCAGAGTTCTACGGGGATAACTGCTGCGCTCTCTAAAAGAAGATTTAGAAAAAAAGTGAAAATTCTGTTAACTTCTCGAAGATGAAAAGTTGAGCTCACATCTAGAGTTCAATGGGAGCTCCTTTGGTCAGGCGAAGAAAAAGCCATAAAACACGCCATAAGCAAGATTCAGTTGAGCTCAAAAATTTTCAAATTCTTGTCAATAAATTCGTGTTAGCCCACCAACACCTCACACCGCTCCACATTCGGGAATCTAAACGACAGATTTGCAATCGAATCCGTACACTCATTGTTGTATGCAACATTTTACACCAAACGATGGAGTCTTGCCAAAAATTAATGCCACCATAAACACTTCAACATTTACGAGCCAACAGTCGCTGCTGGCATCTTCTGCAACCTCTCCACCTCTCCACACCTCCAACCCCAACCTGCCTCGTTTTGCTTGCTTTCCGGTGCTTAAAATTTGGCAAGTCCTATCAGCTCGGGTGTGGCGCGGTTCGGACGAAGGCGGAAGTGTAAACAGATTTGCCTGTATGCGAGAGTGTTGTAGTTGTTGTAGTTCCCTTAGGGTGTAAATAAAGGCAAAGGATAAAAATGGGAGCAAACAAAATATGCATGAGTGCAACTAACATAAATTCCTTCTTGCAGTGGAAAGGCATTTATTCACCTTAACTGTTATCGTTCGCTGCATGCAATGCTGTCGATTTCTAGTTGTTGCTGCAACATTTTCGTTGCTCCTGCCGCAAACTTTGTTATGCTTTCAATATAACGAGAGATGTTGTAGATAAACTCACAAGTGGGTGTGCATAACTCATAGCTGAGGTGTTTGAGGTAAAATTACATATTTATATATATACATATGTATGTATCTATTTCTTTTTAGGAAATTTAATTTTATTTTGTTTTATTTCAGTTTTTTCGCTTTTTTTTTTTAATTTTGATATATTCAATATTTAATTTATTAATTTTTTAATTATTTTATTCATCATTAAGAATAATATTTAAATTAAATTTCTTTAGTTTTGTCTTCGTTTATTTTTTAAATTTTTTATTTTGTTTTATTTTATTTTTTTCCATTTTATTTTTATTTATTTTATATTTTATATGTAATTTTGTTTTTGTTCAATTGTTTATATCTTAATTCTTTATTTTATTTTATTTTAATTTTTTAATGTGCATTTTTTTTTATTTATGTTAAATATTTTGAATTTTAGTTTACTACCAATTATATTTTTATATATCAAACCATTTTATAAAAAATAAATGATAGTAAAATAAAACTCAAAATATATAACATAAATAATAAATAAAATATAAAAAAATGAACGATAAAAAATTAAAATAAAATAAATTTTAAATTTTTTAACTTAATTTTATATTTTTTTATTTATTTCGTGCAGTTTTTTTTACATTTTAAAATACTGATTTAAATTAATTTCATTTTTTTTATATTTTACTTATTTATTTATTTTTTTTTATTATTTATTTAATTTATATTACTCTTTTAGCTTTCTGCATTCAATTTAATATTTTTATTTTATAAGATATTAATTAATTTAGTATAATTTTTTAATAGTATTGCGTATATTTTATAATTCAATACATAATATCTAATAGTAATAATATTTTTTTTTTTTATTATTTCATTTATTTTAATATTTTATTTTGAAATTTCTCTAATAACAGTAATTAGTGAGTTTATTTCACTTTTGTGCTATTTAAATTGCGGTCACCGACATTTTAACGCGCGCCACTTAAATCTAAATCGACACTCAAATCGCAGCTCATATGTCAGCGCCTAATTGTAGACTACATTACTGAATGTAAATGCAAATTTTAATGTGATTTTGAATGAATAGTTAATATTTTATGAGTTTTATTTTTTTTTTTTTTGCCTGGAAAGTGCAAATGTAATTATATAATATGAATTAGCACAAACTTATTTGGGTTATTGTATGCATGTGTGTATGTGTAAATATATATATGTATATATTTATCTAAGTATGTGTACATTTTCTGCAGCGTTGAGCACTGGAAACTCAATAATATACTTCAGTGCATTTATGTCAATTAAAATAAGTCAATTAAGCGACAATTATTTGCACAATAACAATAACAAGTACATATACATATTTACATTTACCGATATATGGAAACATGTGTTACATTTTATATACCAGTTCAGTAGAAACTGAGCTAAATGCATGAAATGCAAAATCTAATTAGGTCAATCTCAAGCAAAAAAAAAAAAAGAAAATAGTAATAATAACGAAAATTCGGTAAACCCAGTCTAAATTGCAAGAAATAAATATTTTTAAAATTTTTATCATATTTTCTTAGTAGCCATATAAGTGTATGTGTGTGTTCGCATATGAAAATTTA